TTTTACCAACGAATACTGAGATTGACCGTCACATTATAAGCCCCCACGGCTGAAAGAGCGAGCATGTTTGGTGTGACGGGGATTCGAACCCGCGACCCTCAGATTGCGAGTCGAGTGCCTTAACCACCTGGCCATGACGGGCCCCAGATTGTGAATCTGAGAGTTCATGGTTCGCGTCTTTTTTTTGCTAAAAACAAACAAACAAACAAACTCGCTTCGTACTTTGGGGCCGTAGGTGCGTTATCAGAGTGACAATCAAATCCCACTATCCAGTCAAAGAAGAGCAGCCTTAGATTGGCGGTGGCTATTGTTGACTAGCTGTCTTCCGTTGAGTCTACCTGTTGAAAATTAGAGATGATTTATTTAGTGGAGAAATTATCGCTTCTAGTGACCGATAATGTAGAATTACAGAATCAGTCTTAAATATTGATTTAGTAAACGGAACGGATATGTGAGCACCTGATTGTTTATGACACATTATCACGATGTCTAAAGAACTTACTGACATGTCAGGTACGTAATTAGTTATCTGGTAAAATCAGGGCCGTACCGATCTTTGATGACACCCTGTGCAAGACCCTTATCTTCAAAGATGCAAACTTATGCCTTCTACAGGTCGGCGCCCTCTGCGGGCGCACTGCTCGCAACACCCTTAGTACGGTCCTGGAAAGAATATCCACCATGCTTCATTGATAAAGTACGTGTTATACAATCATCCATAATATCTTCAACCAGCATACTCATGGATGAAAAGGACTGTTCATTAAATAATGTTTCGAACGATATTGAAAACGTTCTTTTTTTTCTTTTTTTTCTCGGGGAAGCTGGCGAGAGAGGCTATTCAAGAATAGGTATACACTCATACCAACTTATTAAATATGTAAAGAAAAACACAGTAATTTAATAAATACTATTAATAAGTGTAACGATAATGTGATTCTTTTTTATGTAAATATTTTGTGTATGGAATCGTTAAGGTGTTTTTTTTTTCGTCCAAGATAGAAATAGAAATTAGAAAGTCACAAGTGTGTAAATACTCTTATTTATCTATCTATGTTTTTTTGTCTGTGTATCTAATCCTAATATATATATATATATATCGTGTATGTGTAGATAATTACCCCCTAATTTACGAAGCGTCCTCTCAACTTGTACACTTTGTCTTTATTAACAAAAACGTGGCAAGACCGCGTATGGCAACTAACCTCAACTTGTATCTATTCAGATTACCCCCAATGGCACAGCGGTAAGTCTATAGGCTTATAACGCTATAAATCGGGTTTCGATACTCGCGATGGGCAGAGCAGAGATAGCTGTCGTATAACTTTGCGCTTAACGACAAAAAAAAATGTTTAGATTTTGATAATACATAGACTTGTGTACCTTTTCAATGAACATTTATTTTACTGAAAGAGTATTTTTTTATGACATTTACCGCAGTGGCGTGACATCTTTATGTTAGTTTCAGTATGTATGTCTGCGTGTGTGTCAAGCACGTGCTTCTACTTGGCAACCACTACCAAAAAAAGAACAAATTGTGAAATAATTCTTGCCTGTTCCTTAACCTTGAATGGCGAAGAAGGTTTAAAACAGATAATACAATCCTTTACATCATGGTAGGCATGCCTTACAGGGAAAAGTTCG